TATTATAATCCATCATCATTAATTATAATATTTTCGAGTTCAACTCCTAGTAAAACATCTCTATTCTATACAAGAGTCTCAAATAAGCGGTGCTCCTTCATTGACCTCATAAAGGAAAATATGATATTCCGAATTATAACAAACTATATAAACCGAGAGTGCTCTAATATACGAGCGTAACTTTAGAAATGAATTTAGCATACAGAAATGATGAAGAAAGTTTATACGTTCTCCTTTTATTTCTCATTACTTTTATATGTATGAAGTTATTTGTAAAATTATAGCCGCATTAAAAAACATCTCGAATACATTTATAAATCGCGTAATAAATCTTGAAATCAAATTCGATATCTCAGGATTAATACGGTTTCGCATGAGAATACATAATGCAATTCCGCCCGTTTCCGCCTTCGGCTGCATTCCAAGCCACGAGAAGGTCTACGTCCTTCGCAAGAACGCATTTACATTCCCTCTCAAGATAAGGGCCCGACCTTTACTTTTGTAGGTATCTCAGGCTACTTCCAGTAAAGGACATCAGTTAATCTGTTAAACCGATTTGCATACTAATACACAATTTCGCGATCCTGTCCAGAGATCGTAGTTTATCAAGTGTTCAGAGGAAGATCTAGTATCTGACTATGACAGCCTTCTCCGAACTTTCTTCGTAAAAATTCAAAAAAAAATTTTAATTAATAATTTCTCAAACGAACATTCCTATATATATGTACATATATATGTATGTGTATTTTTTTATTTTTGAGAGAATTATCGGAAAAGCTAAAAAGAGATAATAACTCGATTAATTAGTTTCACTGCTGCTGCAATTTATACATAATATATATATATATATAAACATTTTTACTAATTTATTATTATATTAAAACATACTTAAATACATATATATATGTATTTAAGTATGTTTTAATATATACTCTTACTTAGTATGTATACATAAGTATGTATGTATATACATGTATAAACTTAGAAAAAATATTTTATCTTATAAGCTTTTATCTTATAATAAGATTTTATCTTATAATAAGCTTTAATAAAATTTCATTAAAAATGCAATCAAAAGAGACACATTTTTCTTTGTCGAAAATGATCCCGATGCGATAATTCCAATGAGTATACGATAACATTTATTATCTCGTTTGTAATACTAGCTTAATTAGATGAGAATGTGATCTTCGGGTCAAAGAAAAATTTTAAAATGTAACATGGACAAATTGGCATTCGTGCCGACGATATATCATGAGTGAAGCGTTAAGTTAGATATAATTTATTGCCAATTATTCTGCACCGGAGCAGCAACTTCCCAAGTTTCTTACAGCGCTAATATCAATTCGTTAAGGGAGAATAATGCACTAGTCTTTCAGGCTGCACACAATTAGCAATTAGGTAATGCTCTCTAACTGATGGAATACGATTTTTATTTTTTATTAACAGTAATTAGTTTTACTTTACATTTGTACATAAAAAAGTAGTACAATGTGCAATATTTTCACTAATGGTTTAATTTTTTTCTGTTCTTTCCTTATTTAAATATGCATCTCTTGTGCACCTGCGATCACGAATATATTCCGTAACAAAAAATTCATTAATTCAATTTGTTAAAATAAAAAGCGTTATTTCATTAGTAAAAGAAGAATCGAGTACACTCCACGTTCCCCACAATGAAAAATTTTAAATATACACGTGTTCTTTTAAATATACATGTGTTATACTTCACAAATAATTCTGTATAAATCATTAAAAATAAAAATTTTTATATTGCACATTATTATTAAGACAAATGTAATAAAGGGCAAGAAGAGCATAATGTACTTTAAATACTGAACTATTAGTATAAATAATTTTTTTATTGGAACTTTCACATTACGTACAATCGTCATCTTTGTAGTAATCGTATATGACAAAAAATGCAGCTGCACATTTGGCAACTTTGAAATTTATTTCAAAAGAAAAATAATATATTCTCACACCGACAGTTTCCATGTGACAACTTGTCAAAAGTTTTCAATTATATCTTTTCCGAAATATTCTTACTTGAAGGAAACGTGCTAAGCATTAATTCTGCCTGTCAAAGTAAATATATAGGCGCGCGACCTACTTCAAACGTGATGCAATTGTTGGATCTAATTCATTTAAGATTCGTTACATATTTTATAAAATTTTTTTCTATAAATATGGAAATTTGATCTAATATTAAATTATATACATGATATTAAATTATATACGAGATATGAAATTATATACGAGATATTAAATTATATATAAATCATTAATAAAATTCGTAGTTACAAACCAATAAGCAGAAATTATGAGAGATATTCTTAAAATTTCTAGGTTCATAAAAACTTTATGAAATATATATTTTTCTTAAATTAAAATAATGCGTAACATTATAATCTAAACATTTTTATAATTTTACATTGTATATAATTTTCAGCTTATTGCGAATATACGATATATAAATTCTTTTTGGAATTTCTTCATAGAATCTAGTGTTGTGGCATCGACAATTGAAACAGAAAATTGATTTCTTTCTCTCTCCCTCTCTCCTCTCTCTACTTTATGAGGTACTCTTCTCTACGAGATAATTTCCTAACACTTCTTCGTGCGCATAGAAAGAAAGGAAGAAAGAGAAAAAAGAAAAAGGAAAAAGAGTTTCAATTACTTCCACACTATTATTCTTGCAGATATCTTTAGGAAATTTGTCGGAGTGTTATTTTCCAAATGCGATTCACATCTGACTCCCTGACATACACAAATATACATTAAATCGTAATTCCTTTTTTTGCTCTTGTGTATTTCAATCAATAATTTTATTTTGTATATACTCAAAAAAATTTTACTAAAATAACTAACTAATACTCAACAATGATATATATATACATATATAATACATAAAGATAAATAATAGATAAATACATAATCTATCAATGTATAAACAAAGTATTCTAGAATTAAAATTTATAAAATAAAAAGAGACAAATGCAAATGAATAAAAAGAAATTTCATTCAAAATAAAAATTTGTTAAAAAGTTATTACTCGAAAATACTGCAATATTGATCTCTAAATTTTAATCCTTCCTAAACCAATAATAATTCATAAATATGGAGTCATTAATGGAATTATTTTCTCGCTATATAGAAGAAAAAATATTACAAAATATATAGAGAGAGCCACTTTGGCTCGCACTGTTTTCAGCAAAATGTTACATTGTTTTGCACAAAAATGGATTTTTCCGTGGATCCTCGAGTTTACACTGAACACGCGCGTTGCAACAGCTGTCGCATGCACTATAGTATTCAAACGGAGAAACAAGTTTTTAGCGTATATTGCGTGACCCTGTTTCGTGTAAATAAATATCGTTATATGCAGAGAGCGTCTGCTAGAAACTGTAACCCCAAACGACGTCGATGATACTTCAAATTGGAAAACGACATCGAGAACGCGCTCAATAAATTTTAACAATTTAGCACACGCTCAACAAGAAGGTCGATAGAAACGAGCCGACGAAAATAACATCGAATATTGGATAATTAATTATTAAAATCTTGTAACCATCGCAATTATATATTTTTTTTTGCTTACCGCCGTTATACAAACATTGAAGCCCGAACTTGAGAAATTTGCCTAAAGCAACGTCGCAAAGTGCTTCCCGAACTTATTAAATTTACCGCATATTAACGTCGTTATGTATCACTATAAATGTCAACTCTTCGCTCTTAAAAATAGGAAGCGCGAGTGTTAATCCAGTCTCGCTCGTTCAGTGCTTTCAAAGGCCGACCCTTTAATTTTGGATTGGAAGTGCACAAGGCTCTTTCCAAATTTGGTATAAAAGCAACACATGTACTAAAACTCCTTTGTAAACGAAATAAGTGCACAGTGTAGCGTGAGATTGGAGCTTAAGATTTAATCTTTATTTAAAAGCAACACCGAGTTAGTCAGAATTGTATGATAAATCGCTTTCTCTCGAATATCACGAACTAAAGCATTTGCAACATATATAGTATATCATATTAATAATTACATATATGCAAATCCGTTATGTTAATATTGATTAATATTAATATATATATATATATATATATATATATATATATTGATAAATATTAATTTCTGACTGGAGCTTACTTATTATACGGCAATGGTTAAATCTCAACTTGTAAATATGAAATAAAGCAAAACAATATGAGGAAAGTAAAAATAAATAATTTATAGAAATGTTTTATAAATTCGCGTAATTATTCCTATTTGCTATTGTTATTATGTTAACAAAAAATAAAAGTATTAAGTTGAAATACCAAGTTCCATACATTTTACGGAGTGAAATGCACGAAGCACTGACATTAAGTAGTAATAGTCAGCGTATAGCCAGACAGTGTTTCCGAGTATATAGTCTATTCCCTTGTGAGCAGTCATGTTTATCATCGCGATGTTTAATCTTTTAATCGCTCAGCAACTTCTACAGCCCATAAAATATATATTACATTTTCTTTTAAATATAAAACGGTTTAATTATATAATAAATAATAATTAAAATTTTGAAAATAAGCAGTTGCACTTGCTCACAATTAAAATCGTTGTGCGATAAATCGATGACCCGGTTCTTGTCTTTCATTGATTTTTCAATACAAAAATACTTTTAATTTTTATTAATAATTACTAAATTTCAGTAAAAAAAGAATGTCCGCCATATACCGTACATATATGTATTTGTACATATGTTAATATACATTGTATATACACACACATACCTATAATATAAGTATTGACATTTGCTACGTATGCAAATTCGCGATTCTAAATATAGCCACTAGCACACTCACTTCTTTAACTATTGATCCCAAATTATATATAATGAACGTTTAGTGGCTACTAATTTAAGAATCGCGAATTCACAAATGTCGCATGTATGAGTATCAATGTAAGCCATTGGCGAACGCGTTGTATATTCCTTCGACAAAAGAATCCAATTTCTCAAACTTACTCGACCATGTCGGCGTCCTTGGCTACTCGACAATGAACACCGCGATCCACCAAGCATTTTCCGGTCACAGGATCAGGCGGTGCAAGATTGATGTAGGGCGGCTCCTCTAGAAAGGTTATTTTCAGGTAAAACTTCTCCGGCACGCCTTGCGGAGGAGTATGAGTATTGCCCGGCCAGACAATGTCTTTGATATCCAGACCCTCTTTCTGCCAGGATTTCCAAACGCCGATCTGTAGATTAACAGACAAAAAATAGATATGATCAGACACAAGAGCAATTTTAATCAATCTTTCCTTAATGTCATATTATTCGCATAGAAGAAAGGATTATGACTTTAATCATTTCATTAAGAAAATATTGTAAAAAAAATTGTGCATAGTATATTGAAATTAATATTTAACATCAATTTAGAATTCTACTATGGGTTTTCTTAATCTTGTATTATTTATTTTCTCCCTTTCTTTCTCTTTATGATTTCTATAATTTTGAAAAGAGTATATGTATGTTCATCTCTTTCTTTTATTTAAATAGTTAATTCAAAAGAGAGATGTCTCTTGTAGAAAAACATAATTAAACTTTTAGCAGTTTTTTATATTACACACATATATATATTATTTTAATAAAAGTTTTAAATATATATATATATATATATATATATTTAAAACTTTTATTAAAATAATTTGTAAAATACTGCTGCACTAGACTGTAACTTTAATTTTATGATTTTAAATTTTGCATCACCTCTTCATACTTGATGACATAAAATTGTTTTCAGCAAGAAAGAAAACGTCAGTGATAAAAATATGACGCGAAATGAAGATCAATTTACGAGGTTCTTCCGGCACTTTCCTGGATCGTATTATGATGACTTAGTACGAAGAAGAAGTTAGGCGCACACGGATGAACTGAAATTCGTCTTGTGCTTCAATCGCTTCCCACGCGTATCGCCTCTTACTCTATCGGGCATGCAATTTACTACCTATTCAGATGAAACTGTGCTCGCTAATGGGGTATCATTAGTCAATGTCGATGAAAATTTTATAATACATCCATCATTCGCCGACGCTATTATTTTAGGAAATTTATCATTGCAATTATGATTAGTTCGATTGTAACTTAAGTCATTTTGCTTGTAAGAAGGAAGTAGGAGATAGAGATCTTAGAAAATATCTTAAGATAATGTTAAAAATAGAAATGAATATTATTAAAATTATTAAATTATTAAAATGCTTCAATAAATAACTGCTTAAAAATGAATAATGATTACCATTTTGAAAATAATTCGTCAACAATTTGTTAGCACAAACAATTTTGTCACAATGTGTATTCAATATATGTTATCATAATTTATTACATAAGACATCAAGAATTGATTACATAGCTAAATTAATTCAATTTTCATACTTACTTCTATTTTGTAAAAATATTAATTTAAAAAAAAGGACAATTCAAATAAACCAACAACATATGAAAGTAACTTTGACATAATTTACAACGGCTATTCAAACCATTTGTACACGCCGGATGTTCCCGTATGTTAAAACTTATGGTCGACCCGGCTTACCCGGGTAAAAATATGTGATCATTGCATCAGTAACTCACGTGGACAAATTATTAAAAGAACATTTTTGCCTTTATATTGTTCTGCATCTTTTTCGCATTGTATTTTTCAAAATTTTATTTCACAAAGTAAAATCGATATTTTATTGTTAGGCGTATCTTAAATAGAACTATTTATGATACCATCACGATAATAATACTTTAAATAAAAAATATCACAAAAAACTTTGGTATAATTTATATTACCGATAAATTCTGAATTCTTTTGAGCTTTTATGCAACAAACATTAATGGTTTTTTAATATTATTTATTCATTATACATATTTCTTTTATAGTACATGCGCTTTATATAAATTTTTATATAATTTGATATAATTCTTGTATAAAATACGATTCCGGAAATTTATTTTTTGTAAAGAAAACTAACGCGTAAAATTTAAACGTCATAAATCATAAAAAAATAGCGTTTTACACACTTGCTACTTAATAGAAACGTCAATAATGTATACATATATTGACTTCTGATAATTAAAAGATAAATTTGCGAGCCTATCAAGAAGGATATTTCTTCATTATAGAAAAGATACAGAAAAAAGCCAGAGAAAGTTCGAGGAAATTATCTATTAATTCGAATTCTCTAAAAAGTAATATCAATTTTTACTGTCATTACATGTTATCGGAAATCGATTTCAAAGTATTTAAATGAGATAAAAATTCTTCCACGCAATTTTTGTCATATTCAATAAAAATCCACTTGTAATGTATTGTAAATTAAAATATATACATTTTTTATGAAAAACTCATAAAGCTTCACTAATGTTTCAAATTTTAGAATATGTTTAAAGATATATTTCTTATATTACTTTCTTTATAAAATGTTTAATTTTCGATAGAATATTATTAATTCTACTTTTCTTTTCCGTATACTCTTCTCAGAAGAAACTTTCTAAAACATATATTACTTGAATGTTACTTTCTCAACTACATATAATATAATTCGAAAATCGAAATACATAGAGTGTATCTATATTAATTATCTACTTCATCGACTATTCATCGATGTACGAGTGGGGCGCATTTAATCGAGTGTATTTGAACGCGAATTGATTTATTCTATGCATCTCAAAATGTCAGATTCAAAGAGGTAATTTTACGGCGATGTGAACAAGAGATCGAACTAGGGCAGTTTATTTGCGCATATCCAGCAACGTAACGTCCATGCGGTTCGTTTCCGTTATTTTTTCCCATGTATCGCGCGTTTTTCCGTTGGCAGCCCTTTCCCGTCAACCGTCAAAATTTATTTGACAGTCATGTACTACGCTATAGCAAAGAAAATAGGTAGGTTCCTCGTGCAGAGTACATAGCAACTTTCTAGGGCCAATAAAATGAAATTGCATTGCTCTGGCGTAAACGTCGTCTAACTTTTGAATATGTAGAGCCTTCACCGGCAATGCACTTCGATGCGGACGAGACATCTACATATTAGAAACTGATACTGTACGGGAGAGTAGGGTTGCACCAAACGTGTCGTCATGAAAATTCATATACACGTCTATATATGGCAGCACGATCGTCCACCTTTTATTCCTACGATCGTCGAGAGACAAAAAAAAAATCTAAATGAAATACTCGAGCTTTGTCGTGAAATCTCTCCCCCGTGGATCGAGGATTCGAGAGATTTATACATTTGTAATTAAAACAAAAATTTATGTCATTTTTACTTCTTCTCACTTACCGAATGCCATGTCTGCGAATTAATATCAGAATGCACGCAGATGCATATATTGTATGCGTTTTATTGTAAACAGATTCTCAGTTTATACTGGAATTGTGACAAACGCATTTGACAAACGCATACGTATCGTATTCATGCGTTAACGCACGGCTACGCGAAATCCAAACACGATTAAACGAAAACAATGTCGTATTTGAAAGAGACACGAAGTAGGATATGATTATAAATTTCAGGAGAAAATAAGATTTGTATATACAATATTAAAAAATAAACCATTATGTATTATGTATTATTTAACTCGAGAACTTTTTTATGTTTAAATATAAAAATTAATAAGTAAAAAAATAATAGTTTCCAAATTTTCTTTCTTTTTAAAAAAATAATAATTCTAAGATATATATATATATATATATATATATATATATATATATATAAAAAAAATTGAAATACAATGTAAACACAAATAATATATATATATATATATATATATATATATATATATATATATATTATTTGTGTTTACATTGTATTTCAATTTTTTTTTATTATCCAACTTAATTTAAAATGCGGATCGCGATATAATGTGAGTCGGTGAATCGCGAGGAACGTTCGGAAATTAAACTTTCGCTGCGAAATACCTCACGAAACGGCGTCTGCTACAAAGCACCGGTGATGAATTAATGATTAGATCAACATGCTATGAATTAATAAACAGATTATTACGCGGACTCGAGATTATACGGTTAACTATACCATGCTGCGCGATGTACCGTAATGCGTTCTTTGGCGTTGATATCCTCTGTCATGTTAACCGTCAAGACAATCACAAATGCTATTTTGACATGGCGTCAACCTGAATGTTCCGTAAAATCTCCGTAGAATCTCCTAATTATTGCAATCTCGTTAGCACATCATGTTCGCTAATTATAAGTTCCGCCGCCTGTTTAGTTCGCGGCACGCTAGCAGTTACATCTTGTTAATCAGTTTATTGCTCCGTAGCGAAACACAAACTTTCTAGTACACAATAACCACAATAATTATAGTTAAGAAGCATTGTAGAATGGCATATTGAGTGTACGTGAAGGCTATCTCAACGATAAATACTGTTTACTGTTAGCGTCACTCTAAATATATTTCCTAATTTTAAATAAAGCTATCAAGAACATAATTAATTTGATAATTTAATTCACATAATAAGTTTCCATAATAATATGTGAGCTAACAAAACAGTTATTATTTTATTTTTATTTATTAGTGTAGAGACAAATTAGCAGAAATATAAAATAATGTGTAAAAAGAATTCAATTCTTTCTGATATTTAAAAAAACATACAAAAAAAAAAAACAAATTTCACATAATTTTTAATTTTTCAATATAATTGTCGAAAAATATTTTTAAAATATAATGTTACTGCTTTCTTTCTGTTGAATTTCTCTGCACGGTTACGACATCCGGATAATTTAAAAATGTAACGGCGTGTGACACGCAAAACCGCTTTATCGGATTAAGGAATACCAAAAGACCCTCGGGCAGAAGAGTTAATTGGCCCATGAGGATTTCGACCGCGACATAAAGCCGCCACAATGGCTGTCCCTTCGATAAGCCAGGTTAGGTAAAAGGAAACGGGGATTACGCCGAACGCTGTACATTGTCCACGTTTTACTGGAATCGTTCGCGATACGTCTCGACAATATTTGGCACAATTCCAGGGATCCCGGTTGGACTGCCCTCTAATCTGCAAAACTTTCGACGTATATTTTCTCTTAAGAATATTCTTTCTCCCTCGAGAGAGGACAACTTTCGAGCTCGCTTGGGGGCAGCAGTGAGTCCCGAGAACACCACAATCGAGGAGATGAATGGGAAAGGAGCATAACTCGGGCAACTTGGCAGGAGAAAACGAGGCACGTGCACGACTCAATACTGTTTCAACCACA